AATACTCGTCTTACTCTATTAATATATAATAGCCATAAAAAAATTTAAAAAGGCATAAAATATTTAATTTACCTTTAATGTATTGTGAGATATAAGAGATAAATAAGTAGTAATAAATTAATTATTGCTACATTAAATACTCAATATAATATCTGTAATCCCTAGTATATATATATATATATATTACAGTAATAAATAAATAAAATCAAAATGTCTACTCAATCAAAATATTTAAAATAAGTAAAATACCAAAAAATTAACATATTTAACTACTATAAACATGCCAATGTATATATACAAAATAAATGCAATCGTCACTTAAGGTGTCATCGTACGAGTATAATATTTAGGATTATTTTATAATATGATATTATTATGTTACCAAAAATTCGTGGTAATTAAGTAAAAAAAACTATTTAAATTAAATTAATATGAAATATCAAGTTACATTTTACATAACATGAGACGTAATAAATGCTTGCTGATAATGCAAAACCTTTTCTATAGAATTTAGGTGGGAGTTTTCTTGTTACTTTTTTTTTACAACAAATGAGTCTTATGACATCCATCAATGATAAATTATATTTCTTGTTATATGCAATTTTTAATATAATTAATGATGTTTAAAACAAACTTATAATTAAATATATTAATTAATAGTAATTTTGACTTTTTTATTAAATTACCATTTATATAATACATGTTATATTAGATTACATTAAATCATATCAATGAAGATAGAAAACTTTTGAAATTTATTAAATTTCATACTTTAGATCTTGAATGATACGAGGAATATATTGGTTTTACAATGATATGTGTTTTTTGTTTTTTTTTTTTTTGTGTCTGTGTACACGATTTCAACTAGAAGGATTATTCTTATAATCACAATCATCCATTTTGATTGAAAATATTGTCTAATTGGTATATATAACAATTGATTAAAAAATAATGAGTATTCTTTAATCAATGATTTAAGAGAATCATTGTTCGAATTTTTCAGTAATTTTCTCAATAATTGCTAAAATTTGACGAAAATTTAATAAAAAAAAAAAAAAAAAACAAGTACGGCATACTAGTTTTCGATAAAATGGCGTTTTAGTTTTCATCGTAACTCAAATAATCATAATCTTAATGATTTAATATTTTTATTGAATGCTTATAAATAGTTCGCTATAGCTGATATAATAAAAAAAAAATTTTTTTTTGATTTAATTTATTTGCGGTGGACTGGAAAATTGAGTACTAGATTTTTCAAAAGATTTTCATTGCAGCCAATATGTGACTGAAAAGTTACAAAAGTTTTTTAAGTGTTATATAATGAAAACTTAATGAAATGGACTTTTCAACAAATTTCTATTAAATAATATTAATGTTTTCGTTGTTATTCTTTAAATATTAATTGTATTGTGTATAAAGACATTTATTGAAAAATTATATTAGTATTGTAAATACATTTCATAGTTTAAAAATATAGTAATGACATTTGTGCTTTTTATAGACAATTTAAATATTCGATTTCCTTAAATTTTAGATGCAATTTTTTTTGCAAAAGTTAGATCATTAAAAGTTCAACTTCCCTTAAAAGGATATTTAGTTCTACTACTAAATCAAAAATTTTTAGAAGTATAAACTAATTATACTTCTAATCATAAACCCACCTGAATTTTTCCCTCATTATCGTTTTTTTTTTTTTTTTTAAAGCAATGGTACATCGGTATTTAGTTTAATACAGCAATATCATTCTTTGTATCTTATCCAACTGTGGAACTCGCTCGACCTAAAATTTTTTGCTTTTTAAACTAAATTTTTATAACCTATTATTTTTATACTTTTATTAACAATATATTTGTATACTTATTATTTTGAACGAATTTCCAAAATTAATACTAGATTTGATGCTTTTGTGAACTTACTGACAAAATTGGTGCGTATGAATTGCGTCCCATAAGATATAAAAAGGTATAATATTAATTGCGTCCCGGGTTTTTCTGGAGCACGACTAAATTGTGTCCCCAGTCCCTGTGATATCTAAAATGTATAAAGGTGAAATAATTGATTATTATAAATTATTTTAGTATTCCCGATTTAATAAAAACGATTATGTTAAAGCTTTGATAAGTTTCTTGTGAGTTACGTTTTGTAGATGACCAACACAATTATTGCCGCAGTAGAGTGTTAACAGTCCATTACTCTACATGTGTTACATTATTAAACCCGATTATGGCGAGTGAAATGAATAGTATGTATAGCGAAAAACAACTTGATTTATTTGTTACTGACCAGTATAAATTTCGATTTCACAAGTACTTGAAAAACAATTTCGAACGGTGGTGTTATTAACCAATACCATAATATTTTCTACTACAGTTTATATTTTTTAATATTTTTATATAGTTACAATTATACAGTTGTTTTAATACAGTTTATACTTCTGTATTCTTATTCTTATATATTCTTACTTCTTTAAATGCAATAGTTAATCAAAAAAGCCAAAACAATATTTTTAACCTACCTGTAACAGTAATTATGCAATTATTATTACAGACAGTCCTAAGTCTGTATAAAAATGGGAAGGGAAATATTGGTTAGTTTTTAAAATATACGAAACGCATTTGGTATGTATAAAAAAAAATCGGGACGCAATTAGTATGGCCTCAAAAAATAACTGGGACGTAATTCGGAAGGAATTGTTGCCGTGAGACGCAATTCGTATGCAGCCGACAAAATATGTCAATAGTTTTAGTGATTTAACAAGTACATTACATTAAAGAAAAATATAATGTAATTCAAAACAGACACGAAATGGACAAGGCGAATTAAAAATATTTTGATAAAAGAATAAAGTTTCGAATGGTAAAATAAATATGATCTTTAAATAATAATATATAATTTTATTTGAAAAAATATAAGATAAAGTTTAATAAAATTATTTTGAAAAGAAGAATAGTTTAACATTTAAAAATAATTAAATCAGTAAATCTTAAACTGAATACGAATGCTTATATGTCATATTTGAATAACACTATCGATTTGTTAACAATGAAAATTTCCGTTTAGTTTCGTGTAAAGTTCTTTCCAATTATTTCGTTTCATATTAAATGTAATAGCAAGTTTAGTTGACAAAATTAACGTTTATATTGATTATTATGTAATATTTATATTTGTCTCATCACGCTTTGTTTAGATAAATAAAACAGAAATGTGTTGTTTATTTAATACATTTTTTTTTTTTTTTGTTTTTAATTTTTTTTATTATACAATCTGTAAATATATTATTTTTACAACGAGCATAAGTGTTGATAAGATAGAAATAGAATAAAATAAAATAAAAGGGACTGATGATTTAAGCGAAGAATCCATCCAGCGATGGAACTTCTTAGAATTGTGATTGTGTTTTATTCAGTCAGGAGATTCCAACACCATTTGCGTTAGGTTAGTCGTCCAGGGTCACCCGGGATTCTGAGAGTAGATAAGTTTGAAATTAGAGGATTGCGGTGGTTGGAGAGTTTGAATGGAATCGTTTATACAGAGTTTTGGCTATATGTTGTACAGTTGAAATCGAGAGGTCATTATGGAGTGTATCGTTTGAGACATAGAAGGGTGCTTTGGTAATTTGTCGGAGGCATTTAGATTGAAATGTTTGAATTTTCTTTATATTTGATGGTTTGGCCGAACCCCAAAGTTGTATACCATATGACCATATGGGTTTTAGTAGATTTAATACATTTAAATGATATTAATGTGCCAATATATTCGAATTAGTTTATTAAAAAAGCTACAGTTAGATTGGGATGAATTGTAGAACCAGTCGAGTTTAACATTAAAATACTTATACTATACGAGTCTGGTGCCAACATATGATATCGAGAGATAATTAAATATTATAAATTTAGACTTTCCATCTCACTTTAGGATTAACCATACACGAAACAAGCCATTCGGGAGTGTATGTATGACAAATAGATTTTATTAATTCGAATTATTGTAATAAATATCGGAATTATATTTTATTTGTCGTAAGTCTTCGTGCAAATTACACTTTCTCGTATTTAATAGTAATATTACTTGCGGACTACGGACTCAAATCACTATCCAAAAAAATAGTTTTAATCGTTACGTTTGATTCATTATGCAGCCAGCACATTTGAGGAGGGACGTCAAGGACATTCTAAGACCGCGACAATCGCCAATATTATAACGTATCGGCATGTGTAGGATGTCAGAACGTTTTCGTAGCGCTCGAGGGCGTTATCGAAGACTCGGAGTGGTTAGAATTTCGGATGGTAATACAACCGGAAGGGCGTTTGTTGTTTTGGAGAATTTCAGTCGGTTTCGTTCGTGCTCCGGTATAGGAATCAAAAGTTTTTACTCGTCAGCTCGTAAACCGATCAATAGCGTTTTCGGGATCTGTAAAGCAGTGCCGAAACGGACTTTGGACCGAAACGCGCGAGCGAGAGTTGATTTGACGTGCTTGGAAAACAAAAACAGCACGGACACAACGAGTGGTTACGATGTATCCCGGTAAAACGAACGAGGACTTGTTCCGCTCACTGCTCGCGACGCGCGTGAAAGACGGACGGGGACCTTTAGGGCGGCGGCACGTCTACGGGCGCTGGCACGTGACGACGGACGCCCTCCCCCCTCGCCGTTCAGGAAGCGCGAACACAATGGAACACGTATTTCAACACGCGTTCGTCAGCTCCTGCTCCCACATCATACGCGTTCGCGCATTACAATATTAGGTATTATTATCATTATTGTTACTGTTATTACCATTGTTGTTGTATTTCGCGTGCGCAGATCCTGCGCGTGCAAGTTACTATCTAAAATCGTATACCGACGTGTGTGGGTGTGCGCGCGTACGTGTGGGTGTGTGCTGCAAAAGTGGGAGAGTGATTGGCGTTTTAACCGGAGAAGGAGTAGAGGATGTGCACGCGGGCGGTATACGGTATAAGGTATAACCCACATGTATGGCACGTTATAGTAGGTACGTACGTGTGCGCGCGAAACGGCGTCCGCGCGTGGTGGTGCGGCTCCGTGTTATACGCATCGAACGTGTACGCTCGGTAAATCCTTGAGAGAACAGCTGATTACGCGGTTCCGACGTAAGCCCGTTCGCGATTTACACGCGCCTTACACACACCGTACGTACCGTTTTTTTACAAGCTCCGATAATAATTAACATAGGCGTACATGTCTGTGCGTGCGTACACTTTTCCATCCATCACTGACTACTATCTGATCCCCACTCGTCCTCTCTCACTCGCCCTTTCCCGTTCTCTCCTCTATTAACAACACACCTATAGCGTTCGCGTTTACGTACCGCTTGGTATAGGTCCGCGCGCAGTGCGTATAATTCGTACCTGTTGAAAACGGTTTTTTAATATTCCGTTTCTCCCTCTCGCGCTGCTCTTCCGATACGCTCGCGCACATACGGCGGACGCGCGTAGGTAATAATTATTTATTATATTATTATTTTATTTTTTCTCGCAAGCAGCACGGAAACGTGATGGAATAAACACAAAAGTTATTTATACACACACACACACACACACACACACACACACACACACACGCACACGCACGCACACACATACGCGCGCACGCGCGAATATACATGCGTGTGCAAAGATACGGTGCCGCACCTCCTTGTCGTTCGCTTGCACCACCGCCGTCTCCAAGGTTCTCCTGGTCGTCCTGAAATCTCCGACCGAACGCCGTTTTCGTTCATTCGCCGCCGACTAATTACACCGAAATGTAAGTAAACCTCGTCTCGAAATAATTCATACTCGTGCAACTCTCGTTACTATTTCCTCTTTAAACTCTTTGTTTACGTGTTATCTGAACGTGTACAACCTTACAACCATCACATCCACTCGTAATTACACGATTTCGTGTGTTCTTCCAATAAATTTCCGGCATCACACTTCAATCGTATGAATTACAACGGTACGGTTGTTATAATTTATTGATTTTTTCTTCAAACTCTGTATAAAATCAGATTTAACCGTACAAAACTATAACTATCCTGATAAATAGTTACCACTTAATTTTGAATTACTATTTATAGTCCTATGTCAATGCACGTAAATGTTATTCGGTATTAACAATGCACGCGGAATATTGTAAAACAATCGTTTACATTGTATTCCACGTGGTTTAATGGGAATGAAATCGCTTGGTTATTATTCTTGAGTACTAAAGTTGATTTTGTGTTAAATGTTACAGTAGAAAAATGAACCCCGACGATTCCACATCTGAAATGTAAGTAGACTTTTTAACACTCAATACTGATTAAGTTTCTGTATACTTAAGAATTACGTAGACGCATGATAATTACAATAGCTTTTTGTTCTAACTAATTGTTTTGTTTTTTTTAACGCAAGGTTTGAGATGTATTTGGAAAATATAGAAACACGGTCAAATTAAAATGTTCATTGTTTTTAGGTTTCCGTTTGCTGTGTAAATAAATAAAAAAAATTCACAATACCTTAAATTTCTAAGACAAATTTAACTTATTTTTTTTTTTCATGAAGATGTTTTTTCGAATGAATAATTCAGTACAATTTTTTTTCAACATTTAAATAAAGAAACCGATAATTTTTTAAATATAGTATTTTGATAAATATTTTAAATTGGGTTTTTATTGACTTATTGTTAAATATAATTAAATAATTTATACAAAAATAAAAATCTTAAAATCAATATAGATCATATAACTGTACAATATAAACAATGCCGTCGTTAGTGAGCAGATAACTACTTAGGTAATTGCCTAGATCCTGGTAAATAAAATAAATTTTGGGGCCCACAATTTATGAAATTAGAATAGTTATATATATATTTAGGTGTAAAGAAATAATAGGTAACTGATTTTGCCTAGGACCTTATAAAAGCTTACAACGGTACTAAATACAAATATTGTACTTTATAAATACGATTTATATATATATATACGAGTAAATGCTGTGTATGTGGCATATAAATATGTAGGAATTAAGTATAAAATATATATTAAATATTCTTGTATATATTTATATATAATATATAAATAAATTAATTAAATAATTAATAGAGTTTATGTATAAAAAAAATAATATTATGAATCAAATATGATAAAAATTACGATTAAATATTTATATTCGTCAAATCCGATGGTTTTTGTACATCTATACAATTATAAGCTCTTAATAATAACCAACAAGTAATCGATTAGTATATAGTTTCATTTTTTTAAGGTTATTTTTTAAATATATTATGAATATTTAGCTTCTAAAGTACAAATAGCTAATCATAATATTTTAGCACTGTCATTTTCATAACTACCCACACTTTATCATTGCATAACATAAAAGATAAACCGGTTTAAAAAAATGTATTTGTTATAGCTATTATTACGATAAAAATTAAACAATTTTTAAGCAATAAATCAGAATCACCATATATAAGATTTTAAATCGCATGAATCTAGATATGAAATATTAATTTAAGAGTTGTTTGAGGTTTAAGGTGATTCTCCTTCTATATTCTTAGAGGCATATAAACGATACAGTTTATATTATATAGATAAGTATCTTATTAAATATTTATATACCTACAGGCTACAGTACAAATAACTTCAACGAGAATATTTTAAATAATTCATTTCGCTATATATATATATATATTCATTATAAATAACAAACAAATACTTAATTATATTAATAACTGAATTAATTTAAGAAATGTAGTCTTAATTTTAAGTTTATTAATTGTTTATTAAATAAAAATAAAATATAAAAACACATAGGCGTGCGCAGTCTTTGTCCGCAGGGGCCCCTTAATAAAAGTGAACCAAAGATTCTAGTACTAAAAACTACTAGTATAAATAAATATTTTAAATTTTATAAATTATTTATTTAATTCAATATGCAAATATAAAAATAAATACTATTTAAACTTACACAATTTATATCTAAGAAATCTTTATTTACATATTATTATACTATTTACAACTCCACCCTTCTGTCGTTGGGAGTAAGGTTTTTGAATGTATCAATTACATCTTCAATTTGCAATAAATGCAAGTTCTGATTAGTCTGATTAATAACTAGTAACTTTATTACATTTATTCACAGATATCAATTCTATACTATAGGATTAAAACTGGCTTTACTTTATTCATGTAAAATGTAAAAATGTTCGCTATCTTTTATAGTATAGATATACATTTATTAAAGAAAAAGCCCGAGTCCACAGGGGGGTCCGCGGCCCACCCGGCCACCCCCGTGCGCGCGCTTATGTAAAAACATTAACATTTGTAAGGAAAAGTATTTACATTATCATTAGCACGTGGTTTTATTTATTTTTTTAACGATCAAAATAAACTTTCATATTTAAATTATAGTTGAAATAATTATTATTCTTATAACATAACACAAAAATTAATATATTTTTATAAGAACAATACTTCCATATGCCGTTCATTATTCAAATTTAATAAATTATAGATAATTGATAATCATGTATACTTATTTTAAGCGTATACTCGTATATTTATAATTAAATTCTTGTCATCGGTGTATTATTAATACTAAATAATACTCGTAATATATAGTTTGAATATAAATAATATCTTAAGTATTATACCATTCAATACATTATGATCATTAACGGATGTTAGTTTATCAACATACATAATGTTGTGCACGATTATTATTGTTCTAAATATTTTGCAATAATTTCAAGAAATTTCAAATATCCTTAAACATTTTTATAGTTTACGAATAATAGGTTCGTTGTTTTTTACTTATTTTTTAACGTTCAATTTAATATACTTAAAAAAAAAAAAAAATTAACTTGTAACACGCTCAAGTGCCATCCGTGTGTGTAATCGTGCGCGTTTCGATAGCATTTGATGTGTACCTATGTGGAAAAAAAAAAAAAAACAATAAAATATTCCGGAATGACTTCTCTTTATGACGCAATCAAATGGGAATGAAAATGATAAGTAAACGTTTTGTAGGTAACCGGTTCAGATTAGTACCGATACGCGTAGTTCTTGCGGGAAAAAATTAATATTTTTACGACACTTTCTTCTGCGGTCGTAAAAAAAAAAATAAAAAATCAAAAAATCTGATAATCAGCTGACGGATGAAATCGGTTCGCCGGTAGCGTTCGAACACGACTGCGCCGCGTATATGCGGACGAGTCGTACGCGTTTCGGATCGTCCGTTGAACAAAAAATAATTCGTGCGCGCAAATAAAGACGTACACACCGGAGCGGCCCGTCGTTAATGTCTCCTAATAAACACGTCGAGCGCACAAGTACTTGACCTCCCGCGCGCAATAGGTTGGGACCTATTCGTTCCAGCGGCTAACCGTCGAAACTCATCCGGGACGCGTTTATCAACTGACGCGCGCCCGTGTATCTCGTACACACGCACACGCATATACGTGTAACGTTAACACGACCGTAAACGTGCGCGCACACACCGCCGACGTTCACGCTCGTTTCGCTTGTCCGTCGGAGACCCCTGTACCGCGCCGGTCGTCGTCTCCTCGCGCCCGACGCGATACGGGTTAGCAGCTGTATTACGTTCAATAACACGGTAGTGCACGCGTTCTACGCTGATTGACGACGCAGAAAATATTAATTTCACATTATTTTATTACAATACCGCGGCGGCGGTGTGTCTTCTCTCGTCCGTCTCTGTCCGTCCCGCCCGGACACCTGTCACTGCTCGTCCCTGCCTCCCGTTCGACCGACCCTCCGCGCCCGCAGTCATTCGTCCCGTTCACCAGTTCGCGCGACCGTTTTCGTCAGCCGCCGCCGCCGCCGCCGCCGCCGCCGCGCATATCCTATTAAAACGGTCCACGGTGATCGTGGGATAGCGGCCAGAATAATGCGCGATGGGGACCAACGGGACGAGCGCGTATATGATATCCGGCGATATGCGTCACGTCCGGAGGAAAAAGGGTGTATTACAAGCCGCCAAAAAAAATATATAACCGTGCATTGGCAGCGGCCCGGCTAATTAATTAATTGTCACATTACGCGTTCTCACGCCAGTTTAATTGTTCGCTAAATGTCATCTCCAAGAAATTACGCTCACTTTAATGCGCCCGTTTATCCGCATAATATATAGAAATACAATACGTGCGCGCAACATTATCATATTATTATATAAATACGTACCGCAGTTCGTTGCAGCGTGGTAAAAAAAAAAAAAAATAATTAAATAAATAAAAACTGTTATATCCTATTTCTATTTCCCCGTGGTGCTGCGAATCGGTTCGCTACAAATTTCCGTGCGTCGGGTTTGTAACGAACATGATATTGGTTATTACGAAACGAAACTGTAACATCGACTGTCGGTTTCAATATTAGCAATCTCCGATGACAATAACAATTCAATAATAAACCGCAGTATTTTAATGATTAAAACCATTGTTCGGCATTTCCATGTCCCTAACGCTTAAGGTGTAAATTGATTTGCCTATTTAATATAAAACGGGCTTACTATCATGGCGATCTTAGTAATTTTTGTAATCAATATGTTCCTCTGACGTCCGCAAATATCAAACTATTAAAACACTGCATTTTTATAATTCTCGATTTGACCTGTTAAGAAATATATGAAAATAGTATTAAAAATGAATATCACTGGATTCGTTTGATTATAAATAATATTGTATACCAGTAATTATAATCAAACTAATTCAATGTTATTCATTTTAAATACTATTTTCATACATTTCTTAAATAGAAAAAATAGAAAAGTCGAGTTCAAACTTTTTGTTGTGACTTCAAAAAACTTTTTAGAAAACTTTTATTTATTTTAATTATTATAAATGATAAATTATAAATTATTTATTATAATATTTATGATGTTAAATAATGAAATGTAAAAATAATTTAAAAGAAAAGTTATTCTTTGAACGATAATTAATAAGAAAAAGTAATTTCTATTATTTCTTATTTTCTATTACACATCATTAGAAGCAATAAAATGATAAAATTATTGTTGAACTTATTTATCCAGCAATAAATTATATATAAAAATGTATTTAGAATACCTACTCAATATATAATTTTGATTTTTGATTTTTTTAATCTGTGTATAATATATTATATACCTTTATATTTTCAAAATTATAAAGCTATGTTGATTTACATTTCTTTTATTATTTAAAATAAATACAATACATTCAAATTTAAATATAAATAATATATAAAATTTATATATAATAAAAGTACATATTATATTTAATATAATATGTAC